CAAAAACAGTGCGCATCACCATCGAGAACTTCGCACAGAGCACTAACTCGACACAGCGAAATTTCCAAAACAGTGCGTACCCCTTTTCAGGGTCGCGCTATGCGAGAAAATCGCATAGCGACAATGCATAATCGCAGTACGTGTGGGGAATCTGCATTACTCACTCACTACACTAACCCTACCATGTCTAGGATCTTGTTAATTTCTAAGTAAGACCTCTTATCGATTATTACTGTAATTCTTCTTGTCTGAGATGATCCAAAACCCTCCTAGTATTAATGTAAAGTGATTAAATCAAGTTTTACCATTTTAAACATCAATGCTGCCACTTATGAACACACATTCTCATTCAACCATTATCTCAGGACTTACTCAGTTCTCTGACCCCTCACCAGTTCTGTTGGCTCAACTAAACTATCCCAACTGCCCAATTAGTCACCGGAGAAGAATCAGATGTCTGAACGCATCCAGTCCACTTCGCCGCCAACACATATGCCTAGTCACACGTATGGCCAGGCCAGGGATGCTCTATATCAGGGATGCTGCCAACTCGGTTTTTAAGATTCTTTATCCTACCAACACATGCTTCAAACAAGTCCAATGCCTATTAGTTACTCTAGACACCCATTCACCAATTTTCGTAATCCCTTCCCTCACAGTAACAGAACCAGTCCATGTATACCCTCACCATCCATTTTAATTATTTCCCAGAGAGATCTTACTCAAATCCAGACACCCAGTACAGCAACGTAATGCTCATTCAAGTGTCAAACAAAGTTCAGCACACTATGGTTACATAACTTCCACACATCCAGTAGATACAAATCAACATGCTCATCACAAAACATAATTAAACAGTACATAGCAGTTCAAGTCAACACACCAATTCAGGACTTAACATGCAAATATCTCAAAATAATTTCAAACAAAGAACTAGCTCCCCTTACCTCAAAGTCGAACTACCAAGCTCACAGAGACGCTCCCTCACGGTATTTCACTAACTGAGAACTGAACCAAACCTGGTCCAATCGAAAATGCGATCGGTTCAAAAGGAAGCCTTCGGTGAGATGAACGCCTGAGCACCTTCCATCCCAAGATTGAACGGTTCAAAGAGCTGAAAAATTTAGAGAGAAGGCAGAGAAGAGTTTAGGGCAAAATGTTTTTTTTTTAGAGAGAGAAAGGGAAAGGCAGAAATGGATTTTCTCTAGCTTTTGGGGAATGACCCTGGCTAAGTTAAGGTTCCCTTAGTCTGGGCCTGACTGCCTCCAACTAGGGCCCAATGGCCTTATAATTTTCCAGGTCCTCACATAAAGCCTACTCTTATTCATTTGGTGCAAAATTAATCAATTATCTAATAAAGTAGGTTAAGCAAATAAGTCATAATAAAAAAGTTTGATTCCTAGTAAAATAATTGTTACAAAAAGAAGACTTTTATAGGATGTATAAATTTCATTTTATCAATTTAAGAGATTTAACTCTGATAAAGCCTCTAGTTTATATATTTCATTTAATCAATTTAATAGTTTTTTATAAATTAGATTTATTTTATTAAAAGATAAATATTTTTCATTACTTCAAGATTTTCATCTAAATAAATAAAGAATCACAATTTCACTCAATCAACAATAGTCTATTGGGATATTTATTTGGATTTTTCATTTTATTATTTACACGATACACTTGTTAATATTGTAATAAGTTTTTGACGTCATTGTCAAAAATTTATGTTTGATTTAATAAATTGTGTTTTTTTACGAATTTAGGTTTAAAGTGTTTATAATTTGTTTATATTATTTTTATTTTTGTTATTTGTGATTTAGTGGAATTTTAGTTATATTTAATTTAAAATGTTTAACTCATTCTTATAGTGTTTCTTATTTTGTATGAGAGGCAGGATACTGGTTGATTAATTACTTTGCAATCCTAGAATTAAACGAACAATCCATAGCAATAACAATATACGTCGAAGGCTTTTCAAAGAAACATCGAAGCCTCATTAAGAAAAGCAAAAACTGTTTTAGATTTCTCAAATTTGTCTCATCTTCAATCGTCATATCAATAAAAAGAGATAAATATGGCGAAAGAACGTAAAGACATCGTATTTTGGAACAATATTCAACATTTGTGTAGGACCATTAAATTTCAATTGTATTATCAAACTGGTGGTGAATGTAGCCAACATATATATGTAGCCAATATATATTAAGTGAAAAAAAGTTGAGTACTTCCTATGATCATGTTTTGTGTCTCTAGAATAAAGACGTAATAGCCATAAGATATAGTTAATTATACAAATACTTGAATTATTGTATATTTTTCAGTCTAGTACAGCTTGATTGTTAATTATGAAAAAATAATCATTTGTAATTATCAATTACTTATTGTTCATATATATTTGATAAATATATATAATCAATTATATTCAATTATGATTATATTTTCTGAGTTCCTAAGATGTTAGTGAATATATAAAATTATAAGACTCAATTAAGTTTTACATCTTCTATAAATTTAAATGCTAAAATTAATTATTTTTTACATCTATTAATTGTTTTCATCAATTTATGAAAAAAATATTAGATCTAAAAAGTATTTGATGTTTAAAATACATTATTTCTTTATGTTGTAGTTGAGGATGACATGCTTACTTATAAAGCATGCTTTTGTAGTGTTCAATGCTTTACCCACTGAAATCATTATATATTAGAAAGTCATTAATTCTATGTAATAACATATAAAATACTGATTCGCATAGTCATTAAATCTATAAAAAAAATTAATATCATGTGGGTAACACTTATTGTTATATAAAAAAGTAATACATAAATTGTCTCATAACAATAAACCAACCAAATTACAATTATAAATTGTGGTATTTAAATTGTTATATGCTTAAATAGAAAAAAATACACTTAAAGTACAAATATTTGACATAATAATATATTAGTATATTGTTTATTCAACCATTAATATCATAACAAAAGTAACAAATTCTATTAAATTATGTTTGGAAGTTGTATTCTATATTATATTGGTGCAACCAAATAATGGTAAAGTTTTTTTACATTAGATTGGTTTTGGAAGTATAATTTATATTACATTTATCTGTCGATAATTTGATTCAATGATTACTTGTGAAGACCGTTACCTACGGATGGCAGACAGTAAATAAATTATCAAGTGATTTTATTACTTAAAAGACAAAATTTTGTTCAAAATTTACTAATATCATTGTTACGAGAAACGAATTCAACGACTTTTGGACGGAAACGTTACGTAACTTTGTATTTATAGGAATAATAAACAAATTATTTTTTAATAATTTTTTAAAAAAATAAATAAAATATATTTTGATAACTTTAAAATTACGTGACTTTATCTGTTCGAAAATAACTGGATCTGTTTTTTATTGGCTACGTCAACATACAGATAGATTTTATGTAATTGGAAATTCATCGCCAGTAATGTTTTTTACCCAATGGTATTTTTCATTTCTGACGAACTTTTGTTATAAATAATATAACTTTATAATAAAAAGACAATACGAAATATTCATGGGCATAAAAATGACACTGAATTCTTAAATGATAAAAGGTATGATGAGGTACTCTGCGTAGAATAGCTGGAAGAAGAAAACAGAATCAAAATCAGAAACATAAGAGATTTACGGAATCAAAACATAAAACATAAAAGGTATCTTTGACTACTTAATAATGTTGTGTTGAATAAACTCATGGGTCCACCCCAATGCTTTTAACATGTCACAAGCAAAACATAGGAGAAATGACTTTGATTTATGCTAGATGATGTTGGAATAAACACTTTGTAATGTGGAAACATTTTTCTAAACAGGATTTTGTAATTTTTCTCGAAAGGATTTCCACGTAAAAATCATCTTCTCTACTCTTTCAATTATTTCCCACTATTAGAAAGCTAAGATGTTAGTGCAAAAGAATAAAACAAAGGAATTCAAGATGCTTATATATTTTAACTCATGCAAAATGAAAAATAATTTACTAGGTTTGTGTAGATATTAAAAAGAAAAAAACTTATAGGGTTAATTGTTACCTTCCAAAGAAACATGTGGAAGGATTCTGTGGCAGAACTGCTTTTCACATCAACAGACTTAGAACGATACCAGAGGACTGAAGCAAGAACACCATGTGCAGAAACCTAACACAAAAATGATCAAATCATCATCCATGTCCACATTCATTAGATATATCCGTCTTAAAAGGTATGACATAATTTGATATTAGTGTTCTATTATCTGAGGAGGAAGTCACCGTGATCATTCTGCTCCAGTGGTAGGAACATGTTGTTGCACCCACAAGAATGGCAACTCCATAAATCATTTCAAGAAGTGAAACACAAATCCAGAATACCTAAAAAAAACTTATTTATGGTAAATCAAGGATAGAAAGACAAAGCCTTCTGAGATTATACATAAGAAGAACGTACCCTCTTCTGACCCAAATGCACTGACAAAGATTGAATGCCAAATTTTTCATCTCCTTCATGGTCAGGTATATCCTTTACGAAAGTCAACAGAGAGTAATTTTACTTTCCTATCGGGTACACGTGTATAATTTAAGAAAACAGGAAGCTTTTATCCTTTTACCTTGAACAGTGCTAAAACTAAACAGAAGAAGCTCATGAATGTTGTAGCAAAAATCACTGATCTTGGAAGCATAGTTGGCCTCTTGAACACATAGGTCTGCACATTTAATTTTACACAAAAATATTAACCAAAATCGTTTGACTTGGTTGGAGGGTTGCTTTGATGTATTTGAAATTGAGAGCTGCCAGACAGTATGTTATGTAAACTACCACCCTTTTAGAAAAAAAAAATTCATTATTAAATTAGTTTCTATCGTGAATTAAACTAAACCTACCCAATCGCTTGGATAAAAGATTTTTTGTTGCAATTATGTGTACAAAAGCTAATTTATGCACAAATACATGACAACTGAGAGCACTTTTTGGAAGGACAAACCACCTGCATATGAAGAAAATAGGCAACTTGAAAGATTATTCCTTGAACAACTACAATGCACATGGCTGCAAGCACTGCAATTCTCTTCCATCTCAACAGGGGTAGCTGCGAAATTTCAGAGACAGAGTTATAGAAAAATAAATGTAGTGGCTATCAAATAAAGTTTCCAAACAGGTTTTAGAGAAGCTTAAATTCAAATATAACTACTGAAAAAGAACACAAGTGTCACATAATTTCAATCCTTAAACCCTTCCTCCAATATACAAAGTTTCCTCCTAACAGGAAAATTAAGTGTAAATACAGAGGTCGTATAACATTTATTGCCTAGGGTTTTCAGTAGACAATTACTGCACAGTGTTCGGAAAACTCTGATAAAGCAGAACAAAACTGGCTATTGAAAATGAGCAAATCGTACGATGACCATTAATAATTATGCCAAAAATTACCAGGGGAAAATGAAGTGTAAATGCCATAAAAATGAACTTACATCGATTGAATAAGCAGTCCCAAGCAAAAAAGTGATGGAAAGAGCCCACAGCAATGGAGGTGAACCTACAATCCATCCAATCCCAAAACTCTGTAAAGGAGATTAAAATGATAGTTTAATAACCATTGCAATGGAAAGCTTTTAATAGATTTTCTTTCCATTTCAGATATTAAAAAGGGAATGTAATACACGAGGAAATTTATACCAAGTAATTGACCAATGAGAAACGAATTGGTTCCTTAAACTCAATAGAAAAGAAGTTATATCATAAACGAGGAAAATCAAATAAGAGTGATGGTGTGCATTAGAAAGAGGAGAATGTTGTATAGAATACCAGAATCAAAGATGCTGCAGTGAGAATAAAACCAGTCTCAAAAGAATACTCCCCTGATGCCAATGGACGATTCGGCTTGTTTATCTGCAATACAATATGTTGCACACATCACTATTCTTTCTCAAACAAATTGGGTATGCCTATTATGTACTATTTAGCATATTGATCCATATTGTTAGTAAGTTACATATACCTTGTCTATTTCAACATCAGTTAAATGATTCAAGACTGTAAGATAACAGGCCATCAAAGCAGCAGCTACTATGGCCTGAAATAATGATAAAAAATCTAGTTATATATATATATATATATATATATATATATATATATATATATATATATATATATGCTCACAGNATATATATATATATATGCTCACAGGTAGGAGTAAAAGTTACGTAAAGTAGTCATGCGTTAATAAGGTATATTTTTAAGACCAACAGAGTTAAGTTCCCACCTGGAACAAGCCAATGAAATATGTTAGAGAAATATCTGATAACTTCTCTACCGCAAGGAGAGACATAGACGTTATGCTTATTGCCTGTACAAACAAAAACAACTTAAGTAAAATGATTCAAAAAAACATTACACGTTTTCTTTATAGAATACGAGGTTCATGCAAAAGAATTTGATTGATATTATATAAAAGATTGACTAATTAGTTCTAAAGCAAAAAGAAAAGGATTCGACTTAACTGTGGCAATGAGTATGTTTGGTTTGAGAAACCTGGTAAATGCATCCAAGTAATATTTGATAGAGCCCCTATTGGTTTTTTGAAAATGTTGAGGTTTAGCAGATTCAAATGATTCTCCACTGCCTGCGTTCACAACATATCTTCTAGCACGTTGGTGAAATGTGGATCCAACCTTAATGCCTCTGTAATGATTCTGATGATGCCTCGTGATATGATAGTTATTCTGGATTTTCTCAGTTTTGTACCTTGTAGCTTCTTTTACGTAAGAACCTAGAATATCAAATATGAATTTTCATTTAGATGATGAAAAGTTTCTCAAAAGTATTCGAAATGATAACAAGTACTTTGTAACAACAAAAAGAAAACATGGTCCAATTTTCATGGCTCACCAGAAGAAGAAGCTACAGGGAAAGACCCAACAAGGATAGAAACCATTGATGGTTGGTTGTAGTTTGTTTACAAGAGGCTCTCTGGCACAGTTCATACTACTAGATACCATATTTAACAGCAACTTAATCTAGATGACGATGATGATGATAATGATGTATGTATGTATGTGTTGTTGGATAAAAAAAACAAAAATGGGATTCATCCACGTGCTGAAAAGAAGGATCAATGTTTTCATATACCATATATCATATATCGAGGAAGAATGTCTTCCACCTTCACAAAAGTTCCATAAATTACTCCAATGCACCAACCATGTTTCTTGTCCTTTCTTCCTTCATTCATTATAAAATGAATGCAAAATGTGCAGCAAAACATAATTCACTAAGAATCAAACGGTGAAGAAAGAATTCAAGAGGAGAAAGAGATAAAGCTATGGGTATTATCGTGAAGAGAGAAACATCACCGATAGGTGAAAGACACTGTGTAGTAGAAACTGTTAGTGTGCAAAAGTGAGTTTTTTTTTATATCATCCGAGAGGGTGAGATTTATTGAGAGATCCTCAGAGAGTGAGAGAAACACTGTAATCCTACTTTCATAGTGAAGATAATTTTCTGGACTAGGTCCCGTGATTTTTTCCGAGAGGATTTTCCACTTTAAAATTTTCAGTGTTATTTTTTCCTACGTTTATACTTTTATTTTTACTCTTCCGCATAGTGCCCATTTTGGATTAGGAGAGGAGGGAACAAATACCGCTGTTTTCCTACATGTGTATATCCTTTTTATTTTCTAAATTTAAAAGTCAGTTCCCTGGTCACCATTTTTGTTCTTATTGGAGTAAATTTCCATTCAACATTCAAAGTCTGTTAAGTGATAAAAGTACATGATGGTCGAAGTCAATCTAAAAGAAATACTTTTCCATTTCTTCTCCTTGGGATGAAATACTAATTAATGGTTGAAGATTTTTCAATAATGGTTTCATAATCCAATTATATATATCTCTCGTATGTTGTATTCAAATTTACAATTTAAAAGAGATGCATACAAATTTATTCTGATTAAGAAAAAGTCGTGTCTACCTTGTTCTTTTCGGTAAACACACCATTTTTATAATTTGTTAATAATAAATCATGCTTTAAATGACACTTTTATAATATTGTGTTTTAAATTACCAGTTACTTATTGATAATTATTTATGTAATTATCACAATTTAATTTTTTTTTCTTGTTCTTTGTTTCTTCCTTTCTTCCACTTCTTTCTCTTTTTCCTTTTTCCTTTTTCTCTTCCTACTTTCCTACTCCACAACTCGCGTATTTCAGAATATCTTGGGTAAATCAGTAAATTATGAACAAATTCATATAAGATATTAAAACATTATTACACTTAACTCAAAACCTAAATCTTAAAATATTAAATTTAAAAACCATTCTACTTATATATGGTTTATCTTATCCATTTTTAAATGATGTGATACTTTATTTTAATTTTCTAACTATATTCTAATAAATTTAGATACCAATAAGAATATGAGAAGTTAACCTTTAGAATTTTGCATTTCATTCTTGCACACATTCTCATCAAAACTATATTCAAAACTTTTTAACATCAATCTTAATTTTCATGAACACAATCTTTTTTTTTCCATAGACTCCAAACATCAACTCTCTACATCCTTTCTCTATATCATGTTCTCTTTATAGTTAAGTTCCACTAAATGAAATTGTTGGAAAGATACTTTAGCTTGGTTATGATATACATTCACCACCCTTACCCAACTTATGCAATGATATATGACCACAAAAAGTATTCTATAATTATATTTGAAAGTTGTATTCTATATTATTGGTGCTTAAGATTTTCTTTGGAAATATGTACCTATGAACTTTTATCATAACTACTGCGTGCTTTGACCCAATGATTACTCATGGAGACGGTTGGCTACGTATGGGACACAGTAAATAAATTATCGACAGATGCAAGGAAATTATCCACTAATTTTATTAGTTAAAAGACAAAAATCCATTCAAGATTTACCTAATTTACATTGTTACGTCAACATTTTTGATAGGTTTTATGTCATTATAAATTCATCTATAGTAATGTTTTACCTATAGGTATTTTTAATTTCGGACGTAATTTTTGCTATAAGTAATATAATTTCGAGCTTAATGCAATTTACTTAATTTAATTTGGTGTTGTGTGTAAGAACCTAAATATATATATATATATATATATATATATATATATATATATATATATATATTAAAAGAAGATGGGTGAAAACATTATTAAGAAAAAGGGGGTCATTCATTTCTTGAATTTTTTAAGAAGCACAATTATTTGCTTGGAAGCACCAGCCGCCCATATGAAGAAGTTGATTATTTTTATTTGGCAAAATGGAGAGCAGCACAATTGATGTTTTTGTCTTCTTTTGAAAAAAAAATAAAATTAAATGATGGTGCATTCATTCTGCTGAAGTAGAAAGTGGAGATGCAACTTTAGGATATTCATTTTCCTTAGCCTTTTGAGAAAAGCACAAGGAGGGCCCCTTACTTTCATTTTGCACCATCCAGGGAGCACAAGGGCTTGTCCTTTTGAGTGAATTTGAGGGAGTGGATTTGAAGATAATTTTTTTTGTCGTTTTTTTGAGCGAATTTGGAGGTAAATGAGAGTGAATTTGAAAATATTTTTTTTTAATTTGTCACGTCAATACAATTCTATACTAATTCTCATAAATTTTATTTTCAAATTCATTCTCATTTACCTCCAAATTTGCTCAAAAAAACGACAAAAAAAATTATCTTCAAATCCTCTCAAATCCCCTCAAATCCATTCCCTCAAATCCACTCAAAAGAACAAGGCCGTAGGGAAGTAAGACTTGGCTTTAAAAATGTTGCACGGAGGGGATAAAAGGAGGAAGTTTTGGTCATCAAAAGAAGTTTCAAGGTAGCAAAGAAGTTTCAAGGTAAGGGGAGCTGACTCAACTTAATTTCTAGAATTTTTGTGGTTGTGAGTATGGTTCAAGTTGCTTGATTTTGATGTAGGGGAGCTAATCCTTCTTATATATGATTTTTGTACATGTTATGATCATGAATATGAGTTATGAACATGTTAAAATTTTGGTAATGGTAGTTATCTATTCACTTGTATAAATTTAGTTTTTATGATTATAATTTTCTTATTTTCGAATTACTGTGGTAAAACCTTCCTTTTAATTGTTTTTACCATTGGATTTAGGTAAAAGTTTAATATATGAATCCTAAGACTTATTTCTTCACTTTGACCGTTCGAATCATCAATCAGAAGTCTCTACTTGGAGAAATAAATCCTGCATGTTTGAGTAAATTAATTACCCCTATAGCTCCGTTACTGAGTCCTCTCAGTAAAATATAGATTTTGACCTATTTGACTGTTAGATCAACCTGGAAATTTTATATATGATTCCTAAGATATATTAATACACTTTGACCGTTCGGATTTGTAATTAGAAGTCTGTACTTGGAGAAATAAATCCTGCATGTTTGTGTAAATTAATTACCCCTATAGTTCTGTTACTGAGTTCTCTCGGTAAAATATAGATTCTAACCTATTTGACCGTTAGATCAACCTGCAAATTGGATATATGATTCTTATGATGTATTACTACACTTTGACCGATCGGATTTGTAATTTGAGTATAACCGAAAACCACTTAAAATTTTGTCCCTGATTTACCTCGGTAAAACCTCAATATCTATCTAGTTTACTGTTGGATCAATCTGAAATTTTAATATGTAGTTTCTAACACATAGTGAATTACTTTGACCGTTCAGATTTGAAATCAGAGTTACAAATTTAGAGATATTAATTTCGTATCTTCTCAGGGATCTCAATATTGCTTAATTTCTGTTTTTGGACCATTTATACAAAAATTATGAATTATAATTGTGATGATTGTATTTTATTTTATTGGATTTGAATTTATGCATCTGAACATGGTTGTGAACTATAATGATGTATTTGAGTATGAATTGGACATCTCAGGGTGAGATGATTAGAAGTGGTTGTGCGAGGTGTTGTTGTTGTTCTGTATAACTGTATGGAGCTTTGAACTGGTATGTCTATCCCTACACTCAAAGCACTGTTTATGCTCACATAGAGGAGAACAGTGTGAGTGGTGAGAGTAGAGGGAGGTCCTCGTCTATAGTCTTAGAGTTTAGACATA